ACACACACACACACCCCGCGTTCTCTCCAATTTCACACAGGTGGGCAGGACGGGGGGGGGGCAGTCCTGGGGGGCCCTAGAGGTGTCCTCCCACAGCAACGAGAGGCGTGGTGCAGGAACGGAGTCCCGGACTGTCTAGAGGGGGGGCTGTGGGGACCCGGGCACCAAGCCCTGCCCGCCATTGGTGGCTTTGGTGAGGAAAGCGGTGGCGCTGGTGGTGGCGCTGGCAGCTCCCGGCAGCTGGGGGCTGTTGCTGCGCTCCTGCTTGAGGGCCCCGCTGGCAAGTCCCAGGCTGGGTGGAGCAGAGGAGGAGGGGGAGAGCTGGGAGGGGCCCCCCTTGCCCTCTGTGGCGGGGGGCAGAGAAACCACAATGTACTTCTGGACGCTGCCTGAGATGGGGGGGCTGGGGGCCGCCTGCCCACCGGAAACCAGCTTCACAAGGGGCTGAGTGCTGGGCACCGTGCTGGTGACGGGCGAAGTGGACGTGCCGGCTGGGCCACCGCTGAGCGTGATCACCTGTGAGAGCCGGAGGAGGAGGTCAGGAAAGAGGCCCCCACCCCCACTGCCCCCACCCCCGCTGGCCATACCTGCTGGGAGGTGGAGGTGCCAGAGGCGGAAGACATGACGATGAACTTGGTAGGCGGAGGGGAGGGCTGCGTTGGGGTGGCCGGCCGGGTGGAGACCAGCGTCTGCACAGGGAGGGTGATGGAGCCGGGCACCTTGATGATGCTGGGTGCCCGGCTGGCGCTGCTGCCTCCCTGGGCCGCCTGGGACAAGGTCAGGGTCGGGCGAGGCTGTGCGGGGGGGGAGAAAGAGGGGAGGCGCCGGTGGTGAGACCTGCCTCCTGCCACCCTTAGGGAAACACCGGGGGGGGGGGGGGGGGGGGGGAGCGAGGGTCGAACTACCTGGGTGATGGTCAGCGTGGTGCGGTTCACCTGCTGGGCCTGCACGGCTGCCTGGGCCCGGGCCTTCACCACGTTGGTGCAGAGCAGGGGGCCCAAGGCGCCATACTCAGCTCGGTAGGCCTCCTGGTTATCCGGTGGGGGACGCAGCTTGGCCAAGACGGGGGCGCAGTGCTTCTGTGGGG